AGAGTGAGCCCAGACGAGGGCCCACAGAAGAGAATCTCAGTTCTAGAACTATGTCCTTAGCTACAGTAGTAAGATTATTCTTTATTTCTCAAAAGACTCATGATAGAACCCACAATATATTTTCACTTATTTAAAGTAGATGTAATACACTGCATGTATGTTTCATTTTTTAAGAAAAGAAAAAGTAAAGAGTTTTAAAAATATTACATACTGGCACTCATGCTTTCAGGTAGAGATATGTGTAGATATGGAGAAAAGGTCTGCTCAACTTCGAAAAAGGAAGGAAAGTTAGTGAAGTTCTTTGGCTTTAACTTTGCTGGATGTTACTTGCCTGGAATGATCCAAATAATTTTGAAGCTCGTACTATTATGTAATAAGATAACCTAACAATTGTATAGTTAATTTACACAATTCAAACTGGGATCATAAATTTGTAATCAGTTTGCTGTATTAGATTTCCTTTTATGGGGATTATCCTGTTTAGCACAGTTTTCTGTATGTATGTGCTTTTTGATTTGTTGCCCACCTCATCCCGATATATTGGGAATTGTGGATAACAACAAAGAAATTTGGAAGCTAGAAGTAGTGGTCAGCCAGAGGTGCCAGGTCCTGGCAGCACTGACTGGAATGAAATGGGTGGGAATGCAGTGCAGGATGGAGTTGAGAGATACCTAGTACGGAAGAGGTGGCAGAGAAGGAAAAGGCAGCAGAAGATGAGAGATAAAGGAGATGAAAACAGGTGTTTTGTAAAAACCCTCTTTTTTTTCTTCCAGTCTGATCATTATGGAAAAGAAGCTATTCTGTGAGAAACTAGGAGATAGTCATAATACTATGTTTTGTAGTATGATATTTATGTTCCCAGACTTCACGTCCATGGGTTTACCCAGGAAGTGGCACTTTTTCTCTTACTGAGGAGCCACTTGCAGTTTTCCTAAAGTCCTGTAATTGTAGGGAATTTGGAAGTGTATTATGCTGACAGTGAACCTGAGTGCGTATGGGGATGGGATATTGGCTGTCATGACCTCTGTCCCTTTGAAAGAGAAGCCATGTCAATGGCCACTAGGTAGAATATCAGTCAATATATATCATGTGGATATATCATGAGTAACATGTTGAGAAAGTTATAAATCAAAACCATCACACCCTTCTGGCTTTAATGATGAAGTCAGCCCTGTTAAAAGAAGAAGGAGAAAAAAAAAAGGAGGTGAGCCTAAAATGGTCCCTTTTTCTTAGTTTTTTATAGCCCTTAAGGGAGAAAGCCCAGATTCATCTACAAGCAAAACTAGTTGGAGTACAAAGCAATACTGAGTAACACTTTACAGTTTTACAGAAAGCTTTCACATTTGTGGTATTTTCTCATTTGACAAAGGTCAGTGACGGGAATGGTAAGGCAACAGGAAAGAAAGGTTTAGCATTAGCATTGCTTTATTAAAAACTCCACTTCTAGGAGTTACTCGATTAACAAATGTCCATCTGAAAATGTTGTTTTCAGACAATTTTGTTATATCATCTTAAGCATCCCAAGTTTGGGCCACTGTTTACACTGTGTCAGTTGGGAAGATGGGCAATTTGCTTCCTCTGGAGCTTCTGCTTACCATCTGCAGTTTCTTGGTGACCTTCTCTATGTGAGCACTATGGTAATAATTTCTGGTTACAAATAAGATGAAGCTCATCAGGTGTCCCTGGCCATCTCTTACAGGCCATCTCTTACAGGTCTGTGACTTTTGAGGCATACAACTTTTGAGGAATATTTAGGTCTGTGACTTTTGAGGCAGGACCCACTCATTGAAGGAGACAGTAGGTTTGTGTGTGTGTGTATGTGTGTGTGCACGCGCGCATGCGTGTGCATACAGATCCATCCTTGCTCTGATGAAACTAAGCCAAAATTAGCAAAATGAATTTAAATTAATATTTAAAACCTTATTTCCGTGGGTTTTTCCTGAGAGAATGCTTTCCGCTTCCAACTTTTGTGGCATACCTTGTTTCTGATAGTCTACAAAACAAAGCTACTAATTAGGGAATGTTTGTGTTTACATATGGACCATATGTAAGAAAGGTAAAATTCTTTGGGTTGTAGATAACAGTTTAAAACTCAAATTGGACTGGTTTAAACCGCATCCCCCCAACCCCACCCCAGAAGTCACATGCATTGTTGACTCACGTACATGAAAGACAAGGAGTAGGTCTTCAGGCTTAAGCCAGGGTTCAAACAGCATGACTGAGCACACAGTTTCTCTTGCTTTCAGTTTCCCAGCTACATCCTAGCGGCCTCTGCTCTCATCACCCCAGTGCTACATGCTTCCAGATCCAAGTCCAGAGGTGGGGGAGAATTTGGATGTGACTCTCCTAGAACGTGCAACAAAGATCTCATTGTATCTCACTTCACTCTGAATGGGTCATGTTCTTACCCTGAATCAATGCCTGTTTACTGATGGGCTTATATCTAAACAAATAAGGAGTTTGATATTGAAAGGCAGAGATACTAAATAATATCCCCCAAACTGAGAAGGAACTTTAAGACCAAAAAACAAAGCAGGCAACTCCTAAAGTGCAGTTATGAAGTTTACTGTGGGTAACTTACATACAGGCAGGAAGGATGAGGCAGAGACATTCACAGCTGCACTGTGCCTTCTAGAGGGGTACAAGGGGACTTAAAGTGATCAAAGCTAAAAATAGAATCTGACCATGAGGGAGGAGCACGGTTGGTCTGCATTGTTTTCCTCTCTGCCCTTCCCCAGGGGTCTCAAGACCATTAAATAATCTGCATCAGCAAAAGGCATTCTTCCAGTTGTCATATCAGATGAAGGCAAGGGTAAAAGTTGTTAGGGAACTGATCTGGCTAGGGCGCATTCCTTGTGAGTAGGCTGAAGTTCACTCATGCATAAAGGGGAGAAGGTAGGACTGCAGGCCTAAGATGGAGCTGACAAAATGGAATCAGAGTGGTTCAGCCACACAGCTGAGAACAATAACACCAGAAGTATATGGGCCAGGTGTTGGGGAGAGGGATGGTCCTCCAGAGGCACATTAGGGTGGAATCACCATTAAAAGAATAAGTGGATACTGGGCATCAGAAACAAAAGATATCCATGCAGATACAGAATTATGTAAACATATTTGCACTGCTTAGAGTTATGAACAAAGAAAGGTCTTGGGCTATATAGTATAACTGAAACTGCCTGGCCGAGGTCACACATACAGTATATTGGTGCTATCCGTGGAATAAGATTCAGTTAGCTGAATGATGTATAGCTTATATAGACATTCTCCAAAAAAGAAGTCTCTAAGACTGTCAGGGAGCTTAAAGAAGCCAGTTTTAGAATCATCAGTTCTTAGAATCATCAGTTCTTAGACTGGCAGAGCTAAAAGGGACCCTGTTGATCATCAGCTTTCTTACCTCTCAGTGCAGATAGAAGTCTAGAGAAGCCATTAAACTTGCTTGAGATTGCAACCAAGTTTGTATGTCCTAGAAAATTGATTGTCTTCCAGCCTAACACTCTTTTCAGTACTGAATAATGATGATAATAGCAGCTGATATTTATTGTTTGCTCTGTATTAGGCAGTAACCAAGCATTTCACATGAAGTATCTCATTTAATCTTCACAACTGTTTTATTCTCAACTTGCTGGAAATTGAGACCCAGGGAGGCTTAGTGTAACTGTCAGCAGATGGAGGGACCCCAAAATTAAGGAGCCCACCGAAGTGCGGGTCCTTGTCACCGGCTGTGAAAGAATTTGCACAGCAGAGGCAGAGGGACGCAGTGAACAGCCACTTTATTGCTCGGAAGGGGAAATGGAAGAAAAGAGCTCAAGCAGGGAGCCATCAGCCAAGACGGCCAGTAGGATGGCTCTGGCCTGGGTCCAGCCATGTGGACTTGTATGGGGAGGCTTCTGCCATCATTCCTCCTTCCAGGTGTGATGGAGCCAGTCAGTCCTTGTACGGGCTTTTCAGTCCTTGTATGGACTCTTCCAGTAGTTGTCGCAGTAGTCGTCAACTGTCGTGGCGCTGGTGGGTGTATCATTTAGCATGCTAATTAATACATTACAGTAAGCATATAATGAGGCTCAAGGTCCACTGGAAGTCAAATCCTCGACCATCTTTGGCTCCATGGGTTCTAACCTGTTCTTGTCCCTTCTCTGCAGCTGCCTCCTGAGACTTAGATTAAGAGTAATTGGTTTCTAGTCAAGGGAGAGGCGAGATCCTGGGGGCAACAACCTTGGCAACAAGAAGGAAAGTTGCTTTTAACCAGAATGGCTGCAATCTGGTGGATCCAGCATACCCCCTCCCCCCCCCAGATCTCCAAAGATTCTGTTCAGCCCTGGAAGTTCTCAAGGGAATGGGGGAGTAATCTCAGTTAATCGTTGAGATAGGTGGTGAGAGTTGTCGCCATTCCCCAGTGCCTGCGGGCTTGTCCTAATCAACTGCTTGAGCCTGCTCTTGTAAAACTTATGGAGGCCTGGGAGGCTTCAGCTTTTCTATAAATAAGGGGTGGGGGTGGGGGTGGGGTGGGGGGCTGACAGGGTCCTGCTCCCTTTCATAACTACCTTCAGAAGCATCAGTTATCCTTTTCTTGCCTTAGTGTTTTAGACTGCAAACGCTTTTTTCTCCCAAGATTGGTCAGTGCTGGTTTATAGCCTTTTCATGGGTATAGAAAATGGTGTGAGTGAAGAATGAGCTGGTTGGAAGTCTGTTATGGGAGGAGGCAAACATTTGGGCTCATTGAATTCATCCCTTTGACAAGCATCTAGCTATCAAGGGCCAGTAGCCTGTCCTTTCTTATTCTGAGTCTGCTCAGTGTGCACCATCGTGAGTGGCTGCAGAGGCTGGGCTGCCGGCTTGTCTTCACTGGGGGGTGGCAGCAGCCACTGATGACTTGATGGTTTCAGCATTCTTTGTTTACCGATATGGTTTGCAGTGTTTTTCGTTCACAGGTTTGCAATAAGTAAATTTAAATCGTATTTTTTCAAAGGCAGTTTTTAATTTGTCGATACTTCTTTAAACAGGAATGTCCGGAGAGTCAATGCAGAGTATCCCACATTACCTTCAAATAAATGAAATACTGTTAGTCAGCGAACAAGAATTTCTCCCATGTCATATAATGGATGAGCACTGGAAGTTTTATGTGGAATGTGAGGAGTTAACATTCTGAAGCCTTGTTTTCTTAATAGTGTTATTAGGTATTTTTTCATATTACTAACCAACGTTCGTATTTTGTCTTGTGTGGGCTGGTGGGCCTAACACACACTTTAAGAGTTGCTACTTAAGATGTGTGTTTACTGTTGTAAGAAAAAATATAACTCTCCAACTATTGTAGTAAGATTAATACTTTTTGTCATTGAAATAAAGGCATTTTTGACATAAGCTGTATTGATGCTCTGGTTTTCTTTTTACTAACGTAAAATAAAAGCTCATCTTTAAATCAACACCTCTACCTTTGCATAAATTATGCTAGTTCCAAATAAGAGTGATAATTGGTCCTGAAAAGTCCCTGGTAAAGTGAACCTACTTTAAAAAAAAAGAATTTTAGAGTCCCAGTACCTTCCCCTATTTACTTTGAAATTTATCTTGAAATCAAAATGTAGAGTTATGAAAGAGGTTTTTTTTAAGTTTCATAAAATTTATTGTGGGTAGAATTGTATCTATGCTAAATCTTAGAACAAAAAATGAATCAAACGTTGATATGGGGACTGATTATTTTAGATAGGATGTATTTCACCTTTGATTTTTGCTACATTATCATGATGTTTTTTTTAAAGGGTTATATTCAAGAGCTTTATAAGTTACTATGAGCTTTGTTTATAAGGGTCTGTCTTAATCCTTTAATAGCCATCTTATTCTTATCCTTCTTCACCCCAGGCTCCCAAATACACTTTTAAACTTTGTGGTCTAATTCTATCCCTTCTCTCTCATTTGGGTAGAGAAGTCAAAATTGCAATAAAAATCACTCTAGCCAATGCTCAAATTTGGTGAGGGGAGAGAGGAAGTGATATGGTGTTGGTTTCTAAATTTTTTTATTTATTTTTGTTTGTGGGGGAGGTAATTAGGTTTATTTATTTACTTATTTACTTTAATGGAGGTACTGGGGGTTGAACCCAGGATCTCATGCATGCTAAGCACGCGCTCTACCACTGAGCTGTATCCTCCCCCCTGGTGTTGCTTTTTGATATTTTCTTATTTTAAATGTACAGAATCTTAAATATCTTTAGGATACATAAGAAACTTGTCAACAGATGCCTGTGAAGATAAAAATTATGGGTCTGGAGAACTGAAGGCAAAAGAAGACTAAGTACATGTTACTTTTTGGCAGCTTTTGAAATTGGTGCTGCATGTGTGTTCTTTCTATTCAGATAAAAATTTTAAATTTCTGTAAAGAAAGCACTTGGAAAGGTTTGCCTATTAAAAAGAGTGCAAAGACAGATCGTTTTATTTTTCTTCCTTTGAGAGTCCATTGAAAATGTTCAGGATAGAACGACCCTACGTGTTATAATATTTGAGAACTGATGAGAATTTTATTATTCCATTATCATTTTCTTGAACTATCCAGTTTTCCAAATTTTTGAATAATCTACCTGAGGTGGTCTATATGACTTTTATTACTTAAGGAGGTGTTTCAAACATGGGCCATTTGGGAATGCATGTACTAATGGGGGAAACTGTATATATAAGTAAGTGAAAAAAAATGCAAATTGTTAAACAATGGTTAATACAGACCTGGTTGTGTTAAATAAAAATTATATGTCTGTGGGTGCATGTATAATATATATAGCCATATAAATATACATATTTTATATTATGTATGGCATATCCACTCTAAGCTGTGAAATGTGTATTTGTATGGATAAGTATGTGTGTGCGGTAGAGGATGTCAAGTAAAAGGACTGGAATGCTACAAATAAATCTGTTTGCAGTGCCTGTCCCTAAGGGAGTTGGACTGGGGAAGGCAGAAGGGTACTTTTACAGTTTACTGTCAACTTAAAGCTACACACACATTTCTTTTGTAATTTAAAAATTTTTTTTAAAAGAATAATTTAAGAGCAGGTATTTTGTTTAGTGATTACAACTTACAAAAGCCTTGCATTCTAAGTTTATAGTACAAGAAATCTTGCAATTCTGAGTTCTCGTTTTAATGATCAAGTTCTTAGACTTAATTATCCAAGCCTACTTGACATTAAATATACCAGCTGGTAGCTGACATAACACCTGCTAGAAGCATGTTGAGTACTGCCAAACTAAACAACAAAAACAGAACCAAATCAAAGAACTAAACCTCGCATCAGGGTTGGGGGTCTAGACATCTGCCTTACCCCAGATCATCCCTGTGAGAAGACTGGACAGTTTAGGGTGTTGGATAGATGTTTTGCCTCTTCTGGGTTCTAAATGAAATGCTGAAGCTTTCAGACCCTAAGCCATAAAAGAGACTTCCAAAAATATCTAATAATCCAACTTTCTCTGATGCTTGTATCATTTCTATGAAACTAACTCCTTGAGCATCTCCAGGATACTCCATACCCAGCACAGAAGCCTTCTCCCTTCCAGGCAAGTACACCTAAGTATTAGAAAGCTGGAACCCCAGTGTCCCAGGACTCATAATCCATTATGACAAAATAATACTTTAAGACTTACATTACGGCACAAGCCTCCCCTGGTCTGACTGCTGATAAGCATCTTGTCCTCCTCTCCTCCATTTCTCTGTTATTCAGTGCCTTCTACTTTCCCTCCTGACTTCATCCTCAATCTAGACTATGTGAAACAGTAATCGTATCCCATGTCTCTCACCCCAGTTCTTTCCCGTGTAAAAACTTGCAGCACATCATGCCAAATTGTTCTTCCTAAAAGTCTATTTCACTTCCATGCTGTGGCTGTAAGAGTGAAATATAGGCCCAATATTTGAGGCCCCTCCTCTCTGGTCCTGACATAACTCCAGCTTCAACTCCCAGTCATCTCTAACCTTTGACTCATTCTTAAACTCCTTTTTAAATCCTTCTTACAAGTTAAGTCGTGTCCTTTCAAAACGCGTATGTTGAAGTCCTAACCCCCCAGTATCTCCAAATGTGACTGTATTGGGAGATAGGACCTTTAAAGAGATGATTCAATTAAATCAAGCCAGTTATGGTGGGTCCTGATGCAATCAGACTGGTGCCCTCATATGAAAAACTTTGGACATAAAAAAGGGACACCAGGGATGCATGTTTGCAGGTAAAAGACCATGTAAGGACACAGCAAAAAGGCAGCCATCTGCAAACAAAGGAGAGAGACCTCAGAACGAAATCAACTCTGCTGACTCTTTGATCTTGAACTTCTACCCTCCAGAAGTGTGAGAAATAACTTTCTGTTGTTTAAGCCACTCTGTAGAATTTTGTTATGGCAGCCCTAGAGCAGTGACGCAGTCCCTGCTGTACCCGACGCTTGTCTACACTACAGGGAACGTTCCCTCTCCCCGCGGTCCATCTCTGAGTCCTCTCCTCGTATACGACCTCCTGTGTGCTTTCTCAGGCCAAACACTTAGTATTTACTGCTTGATATTATTAGTTTTCTTTTCATGGCTTATCTCCCTCAAGTAGCTGGAAAACTTGTTTAGGTCAGGTTTAGGGTTTTACACTTTGTGTTTCCAGTAAAATATCTCGAACATACCAGATACTTAAGAACTATTAATTGGTTAGAGTGTTTTCAAGTACAATAACATGAAACTTTATTCAAATGGAAACTTTATTATTTCATATAATAAGTCCAGAGGTAGGAACCTTGGGGTTAGTTAATTCTTCAACTCAACTGTGTCATTATTGTTTCCATCTTTCTTCTAGCTCCCTTCACAGTGCCAAGATAGTGTACGTGCAGAAACAGCAACATTAGAAGAAGAAAGAAACATTTCTTCCAGTGCACATCTTTTGGGAAGAAATTTTCCCTGAACCTCACCACCACCCAGGAAATTGTATCTCGTTAGCCAAAATCGTACCATCTTCTTGTTCCTAAATCAGTCACTAGCCAGGGAAGTGGGGTTACCTTGACTGGCTGAGAAAAGTAAGTACATGCTCTCGTGCAGAAAAGTAGTCAGCTGTACGGACTCCAGACTCTGCCAGTAAAAAAAATCCACACGTGTAAGACAGGGTGGGGCAGGGGTGGTTGGGGTAAGAGTTAATATTTATTGAGCATTTAACATACGCCAGTCATTGTTATAAGCACGTGCAATGTATTACCTCAATTAATCTTCACCACACCCTATGAGGTAAGAAAATTATTACCCCCATTTTACAGATGAGGAAACAGATAAAGGATGAAGTAACTTGGCCCAGTGTCACACAGCTACCAAGTGGTAAATCTGGAATTCAAACCTGGGACTCTGGCTTCAGAACTGATCCTATTAAGTGCCATGTATTTCCTCTCTGTCAACCAGAAGTATTTGCCTGGAAGGACAAGGACAGACGGAGATACTCATTGGTAGGAAATGGAATGTGGAAGTCTTATTGGGCGAGTTTCAGTAGGAACACATTGGTACCTACTCTTAGGCTCCCTCTTTTTCAACTTGGGGAGTTCCAGGCATAAAGAATGGGTAAAGCTTGTTCATCTGAGATATTGCTCAAACTCTGTTCACGGAAAACTACCCTGTTAAAGGAATGCATGTGCCCATAGGACTTGGGTTTTAAGTCCCTTTGGATTCTCAAGACTATGAGGACTAATAGCACATAACCTCCACCTTTGTTTCTTGGACTCCTTCATCTTGTTTCTTCTTATATCACTTTGTGGAAGCCTACTCTGCAGGAGGAAACCAGGGACATACCTTTCTTAAACACATAATAGCCAAGAAATGTGGTAAGTTTCTGCTTACACTCAATCATAATATTCTCATGTCGCTAATTCTTTTATCACCTAAATAAGAGGAACAGAATTTGAGGCCACGTCGAATCAAGTTGCCTCTATCTTAGATAAGCCCTGACTACACAGTTAACTGCTGAATTCCTTGGGCATATTTGTGAGCTCATACTCGTTCATTTAGGCTACTTTGCCAAGGACTTTAAAGTAGGAAGAGTAGATGCAAACATTTGAAGCTGTAATGTAGATAGTGGTACTTCTAAAGATAAAAGCAGTTAACATTTCTGTTTTTAGCTATTCACATGACACCTTGAAGTTCAATGACGATGGCAGTGTGGCTGAGATATGAAGCTGGGTCACATCCCTCAAAGCTGGAGGCAAGGAAGTGGTAAGTCAGGGTACCCAGCTGGTAGGTGAGCCTCAACAGTCACCCGACAGCTTCATCTCAGTACAAATGTTTTGTTCTCAGTGCATTATTGCCTACACATTAACTGTTGTGAAATGATTAAACAGAACAAAGCAAAAACCATGTTGCTGTGGGTAAAAATGGCCCCCCAAAGAAATGCTGGTGATGGAAACGAAGAGGTTTAAGAAAATGCTGGTTCTTAGCCAAATAAAAAAAAAACAGGATAAATGAGAGTAGACAGATTTGGAAGAGCTCAGCTCTGTGCCACAAATGGTTTTGTATGTAGTAATGCAAACTTAGAGAGTCCTAGTCTCTATAATGGTTGTCCCCTTTTTCCTGTAGAAGTCAAGTAGAATGACTTGAGTCACTCCGTCAATATACAGGACAAAGTCCACTACCTTCCCCGCTTTAGGAACCCCTGTTTCTCTACGTTGCCCTAAGAACAGACTTACGTGCTTCCACTGTAGCTGCTTTTCTAGGAAACTCCATCAGCTAGCTGGTCGGCTTGGTTTCTGGGCATTGCTCTCAGCCACTAGTGCTGTCACCGCCCCCACATCCCTCTGCCTCATGCTAATCTCACCTTGTGGTCTTTCCCCAAGGCACCACCCACCCCAGCTGTTGCAGAGCAGGCTTCCCTGAAGGCTTGGTGGTAAAGGGGAAGGAGTGATAGCACAGTGCAGTTAGCAAGTTAAAACTGACCGGACATGACCCCTACCACAGGGCATTTCTCCCCGAGGTCATTCTTTAGACCCTGCCCCAGGTTGAAGCAGTATAGGGCAGTGGATCCGAGTGCAGGCTCTGGATTGACAACCTGGCTCCACCACTCACTCGTTTTGGAACCTTGTGACCCTCCTGAGGTCTTATTCGGTGTCAGTAAATGGAGCTACCAAGGTGCTTCCCTCCTAAAAAAGACGTCTGTGAGGATTAAATGAGATGGTCTGGGTACAGCGGGCATCCCAGCGGCTGGCACGTAGTGACTGCTCAATAAATGATAGCTGTTGTTATCATGAGGAGTCAGTCACCAGGCTCCCTTTTTCCTCTGTAAACCTCTGGTTAATAACCTTGGTGCATCTCACACACACACAGACACACCCACTCTACACACCTGCATCCGTAACAGCAGAATCTGAGGATGGGTCCAGGCATCAGTAATGCCTTCAGCTCCCCCAGGTGATTATACTACGCAGCCAGGCTGAGGGCTACTTCTGTGGACTCTTTCCACATCTTCCCCTTGGCTCTCTTTCCTGGGCACCTACCACCTTTCTCCAGGCCTGCATTCTCCTATGCTTTCCCCACTGTATGAGAAGCAGAGCATTTGGGCTCTCTGTGACTCTCTCCTGCCCATCTAGGCCATGCCTAGGGGGCCTTGGCTTTCTCACCATCAGAATATTCTTGTAGCTGTTTTCTGCTCTGGCGCTGAAGTGTAAGAGATTACATTCAGTTGTTGCTTTAAATGACTTTTTTTTTTACAATAGCAGAAATGTACTATATAGTTCTCTATAAATCATGTTACTATATGAGTCCCTGCACATGTCCCTTCCAGACCAGGAGATCGAGGATTGCAGCTTTGGGACCCAGAAGCTGGACACCACTGGAGCGCAACTGGCAATGTAGTTGGAGTACTTACAAAATATTTCCACAGACCTTAGGGTATTTTCAGCCTTGGCTGCTCATTAGAATCACCAGAGGAACTTTAAAACCTGGCCCAAATCCGGGCCCCACTCAGAGATTCTAATTTCACTGACCTCAAGTCTGTGCATCAGTACTTTTAAAATCTCCCCCAGATGATTCCAGTGAGCAGCCACTGACCTCGGAAACCTGCTCTTATCACTTCATTTCTCTCTCCCAACCACCATCGATGCCTGCATCGACCTTGTGTATCTGATACTGCCCCATTAAAAAGAGCCACCTGAGATGCTTCTTTAAAATACAGATTCCTGGGCCCCACCCCAGGCTTCCTGAGTCAGAATCTCCAGAGAATTTTTTTTTAAACAGGTGCTTAGGCGATTCTTATAAGGCAAATGTGGGAAACACTACATTAATCCAAGTTATTTTAGCCCACTTTCAGTCGATTAATGTGTACTTTATTCATTTATTTAACAAATACTTAATGAGTACTGTTAGGTGTTCAACGTTGTTTCAGGTGCTAGGAATAAAGCATAGGATGTGACCAATTCCACGTCCTCATGGATAGTATGTCCTGAGTATGTCTACAGTAAACAAGCAAACATTTAATTTAATAAATTAATTAAATTCTGAAAATCTAAATTTCAGACAGTGATAAATGTCAGAAGATGACAGATCAGGATAAAGGGCTAGAAGGTGATATGGAGGTGGGACAGGCCATTGTTTTAAAAAGGAGCCAGGGAGGGCCTGATTTTGAAAAGTTGCATCTGAACAGACAACTGAGTGATGAGAAACTGCTTACAAATTCCATTTGCAGCCTCACTCATATCATGTTTACTCTGTATGTCTCATGTCTCCTAAATTAGATGGGATTTTCTTCAAGGTCAGGGACTGTCTTTTATATTTTTGTATTCTTCCATGGCAACCAGTGCAGCATTTTGTACAGCAAGAACTCAAGTGAATCACACTAGACCCAAAAGCATTTTATCCTTAAATATACCTTTAAAGACTCAGCCAGCAGAGAATCTGGCAAGTTACCTGCTTGCTAAGTAAAGGAAAATCCAAGGAAACAACATATTAAAGCATCAGACACTCAGCCCAAGGCTAGACTTCCTATTTGCTTCCAGTTGCTAGCCATAGTCACAGATTCTTAATAGAACGGCTCCAAAACATGCCAAGATCTGGTCATCTGTGCATGACTCCATGGTAAGGCCAGACCCAGAGCTTTGATTATCAGTTTCTGCTAGCTTACCATGTTGTGGTGTAATTTCTTTTACTCAACTTCTTACCAATGTCTCTGTGTGCCTTCAAGTTCCATTCAACCCCTATTTCCTTAAGATAACCAGCTGAGTTCTGCAGAAGGCCACACGATCCTACTATGTCTCTGAAGGCCAAAGGAGATTCTTTAATACCTTAGAAAATCCTCAGAAGTTTTCATGAAACCAATTCAAAAGGCTGGAGAGGATTTATCACAATTCCAATTTTGGATTCACGTAGCTTTTAGGAGACTTTCCATTTTTTTTGCAGGATTACTCTGCTCTTCAAATGCTTTCCTTGGGCCAAGAACAACACAATCAGTACTGGAAGGTTGACCCAGGAGGCAACATCACTTTGTGGGGAAATTCCTGAATAAGGAATATTAAGACCAATGTGTTTCCTACCAGTTCTACAACTGATTTGCTGATTGACCTGGGCAAGTTACTTGACCCTTAAGCCCCAGGATCCTTGGTTGTATGAAATGATATTCGCTTCTCAGATAACACTCAAGACTGTCATAAAGAGCAAATAAAATTAATGAAGGAGAGACTACTTTACAGCCTGCTAATTGCTGCAGCATTACGGCATACTATTATTATAGCCACAGTAATTCACTGTGTTCCTCTACTCCATATGGTAGGTATGTGCATCCTTTCAGCCTCTTATTTCTGCAGCGAAAATTCAGAAGCTTCTGCCAGGCACACCTTCCCCCTTGGAGCTGTGTTTTTGATAAGCCCTCATTTATCTTTGCTTTTTCTACTTTTCCTTCAAGGATGTGCTTGGATCCCCCTCTGCTCTGAGTGAAATCCTTCAGTTACGTCCTCTTGGCTGAATTCCTCTAACGTGGCTGCCATCTGGCCCCAGTCAGTTGGCTCTTAGCATCTCCTATCTTGTTGGTTATGTTCTGGGTGCCAGGACTACCTCTGTAACTACTGTGTCTTTCTTAGAGGGGAGGGTCTGTGACTTATGCCTCTTTGCATCCTTAACTCAAGCAGTACATTTTCATTAACACTGACTTTTGAGGATTGTACTAGGTTCAATAGTGTCTCTCAGGTTCATGTCTTTGCATATGTAATCAAGTTAAGATGAGGTCATACTGGACTAGAGTGGCCCTAAGTCTCATGTATGGTATCCTTAAAGAAGAGAGAAATTTGGACACAGGGGAGACAGGAAACAAGGCTCATGTAATGACAGAGGCAGAGATTGGAGTGATGCAGCTATAAGCCAAGGAATACCAAGGATTACCAGCAACTACCAGAAGCTAGAAAGAGGCAGAGAAAGATACGTCCCCAGATCCTTAAGAGGAGGCATAGCCCTGCCAGTGCCTTGATTTCCAGCTTCTAGCCTCCAGAATCGTGAAAGAATAAATTTCTGCTATTTTAAGTCACCCAGCTTGTGGTAATTTGTAACAGCAGCCCTGGGAAACTAACACCCTGGGAATGCTGAGCACGCTGCAGAGGGTAACAGAGGCCTGTCGCTACCACCATGCAGTCAAGGGCAACCTAAAACTGCTTTCTAAAGACGTGGGATGCTGGTCAGAGCACGGTATTCAGAGAAGGAAAAGAGTAACGAAGAGGACAGGGAATGAGTATAAAAAAACCCAAAACAAAGTTTACAAACTTTATGTTAAAGATATTTTTAAGGTCCTCATAGAAAGAGTTTGCTTTATGACAAAAAGGTTGATCTGGGACTTGGAGAACAAAGAGCAAGTGAGTGACTGGGCAACCACTTTATGGTGTATTAAAATTTTTTTAAATGACCAATTTGGGAGGAACTGTGTGTGTATGGACTTCACAGCACCCATTGCTTGAGATACAGAAATCTATGCTATGAGCCTGGCTTATGACGGCTGGTGGACCGTTTGGATTCTAGCCCTGGAGGCCTCAATTTCCTCCGTTGCTGACAGCATGGACGTTGGGACAGACCACTTGGGTCTGAGTTGTGACTCCATCACTCACTGGCAAGTTATTTTGCTTCACTTGCCTCCCTCTCCTCCTCTGTAGAATCAGAATAGAAATGGCATCTCCCTCAAAAACTTGTGATGATTGAAAGATAGACCTGCAGAAATTGCTTAGAACAGTGCCCGCCTGGATAATAGAAGCCTTAGTTGTTTCTATCTGCATCACCATGTGCAGATGAGGAAGACCCGAGGGTGAACTATGTGACCTTTAATGAGTCTCCCAGAAAGAGGCGGTCCCACGGCAGATACGGAGATGAGTGAGTGCAAAGCTTGAAAGTAAGTCCACAAAATGCATATGAAAATTCTTGCTTTTCCCGACACAGGGAATGTTTACATTTTTTTTAAAGGCAGGGTGGTCTGAGGGTGTCTACTACTGCGGGCAGACTCCAGAATCTGGGAGTAGAGGATACGACGTCCTAGGCAGCGCTCCCTCTTTGGGGTTTCCTGGGTCTCAAGACCTAATCGGTTTTACCTGGTACTATGAGGCTCCTCACAACCCACCTGGCAAACGAAAGGTTTTCAGTCAACATACGTTGACTGAGGAAGGGAGAAAGAAACCAGCTGGGATTAACTTCCCTGGTGCACCCCCTTCCCCGTAAGGCAGGCCCCGGGAGCCTCTGGCCCCTAAGGACTCGGAGCGCCGCGGGAAACGTCTGGAAGGGCGAGAACTACAAGCACAGCGTACGGCTTTCACTTCACAAAGCTAGCGTAGAACCCAATACCAGGGCTGAGGCATAGATAGTGCCCCCCGTTGGTGAAGTAGGCGTGTGCTTGCTTTTCTGCAGTTACTGGGTGAGCAGAATCGGTACCGGATACCGCGCCCGCATGGCCCGCCACCCTCACCCCCACTTGAGGGTAAAGAGGAAGCTTTGGAGTGTCTATTTGACAAGGAGGCACAGACTGAAAAACAGCTTCGTTCTCTATTTATTGGGCCTAAAGCTCCACCTTCCCACGCTGCTCCTAGATGATATTTCTCTAGGCTGCGTGGGACACTGTCCTCGCCTTACCAATGAAAGCGGGGCGATTCCTGCAGGGCCGGAGCCTCGCTGAGTCCAGCCTTCGGGGGAAAGCAAAGAGTCGCAGATGTGAGTTTGCTTTGTCACTGCCCTCTCAGCGACTTCGGACAAGTCACTTAGTTTTCCAGACCTACGCTTCCTTGCCGTTTAATGCGGGGAGGGAGCCGAACCTGGCTGACGCGCCAGGCAGCGGCGGAGAGCGGAGCGCG